AAGATGTGACTTGTAGGGTCAGATTCTTGTTTATACTGAGACCCCTTTAGCATACTCGAGCAGCAGAAAGGGCCTTACAGTAGGTAAAAAATACACACAGGCAGACTGGGGCAGGGGGAGGGGAGTACAGTGCACCCTCTTTGATTCCTGCTCCAGCAAAACTTTAAAATACTGAAATACAAGATGAAGTTTTTTCTCCAATCAGTATATTTCTCCTCATATATTTGCATAAAAGAAAACCTCATTAAATACATTGTCTCTCATTCAACTGCTGCCAAAAGCATCATGTGCTCAATGAAGGAAACTGATTATGAAGTTAATTAAATGCAGCCAACACTGAGCATGACTACAAAACACATGGCCCAAGAATAGGTTAGTGCATCCCATCTGAATAACATATATGGTAATGCCTTTTGTACACAGTCCCCCTCAGCGCCAACTGTTTTTTCAAGTCATGGTAAGCCACTATATTGAATACAATTAGAACTCCTCTTCACTTCTACAGCTGAGCTGTGCCTTTTTTTCCTCCCATTGAGCAAATGTGGTAGCTCAGGTATAGAAATGACTGACAGTGAAGTTGTCAATATACTCAGAAAGACTAGACTTTTTATTACAGGACTAATGACATAAGATACTTTGCCCATTTAAGTATTTTTGCCCAGTTTGTTGGTTTTTTTAAACTTAATATAATCTAGCAAATTAGTGCACATTCCAACAATTATACTGGTTTTTGCTTTGATCTTAAACAGAATACTATAGCGCTAGGCCCCTAGCATATTAGTAAAGTTTCTAGTTTCTCTTTAACTGGAGAAGAATCTGTGGTTATGCACCACACCTGCACCTCTCTTTTCAAAATCCTAGATCTGCCCATGAAGAACTGCCCACAGTTATGCTGTCTTTAAGTTACCAGTGTAAAATTAAAGTAAAAAGAACAATGAATCAGGCCCTATGATTGTATCCATAAACAATATTATAAAATAAAAATATTCACTCTGAATTTTTTCCCTTATGCTTTTCCATGGTCATCTTCAGTTATTACAATAGCACTACAAGATTTGGTTGGTTTCACAAGAACCTTTAATAATATCCAGCTGCTGTCACCAAACTGTCTGCTTTCATCCGAGTTGTCCTTTCACAGCCTGCAATCCAATTGAATTAAGTTGCCTCTAGGGTTTGTTCCTGACCGAACACAGTTAAACCATGATCAGCACCAGTTCAGCTGCACCCATTTCTGATACTGCTCATCAGCTAGGCATAAATCTGTTAGTTCTTTGTGAGGTGTGGGTATTTTCCATGAAATTGCAGGAATAGGTATTTTCCTCATAGCCTGGCCAAATACGCACATAATAGTCCCTACGTGCAACACACACTCAGAAAATAGTATTCACCAAAATCTCCAAAGCTGAAAGTGCAATTGTCTGAAGTTTCAAATTGCAGCTTCAAATATTCTACTCATAATGAACTTTGGGTTAAAGCAGCTGATTTTGTAAAAGCTATTTGAAGTTTTTAAGATCATGTGAGAACTTAAAACTTCTAGGTTTTTTGCTATTAAAATGAAAAACAATCTAGTTTCATTAGAGTTTGAGGAGTGATAGAACAAACAAACGTATTTGTTGATTTTTGTATGAACTGCACACAAAGACACCATTCCAGGCTCTGGTCACCCTGAGGAAATATTATATCTAACAGAATAAAAGTACAATAGAAAGCAGCAGCTACTATAAAACCTAAACCTTCAGCACAGAACAAAAAAAGATCCCAGTCCTCCAGCTTGCAGTGAAACCTCATCTACTCCACGCACCTCAGCCCTACAATATATCCACACAGAAAGAAGAATTTTGTAATATTTCATAGCTATCTCAGGCTAGGTATAAAAAGAAGGTCAAAGCCCATCCCTAGCCAAAGTGGTCCATGCTGCTAGTTACTTTTTATAACTAGCAGCACCCAAGCACAAGTCCACAGTAAACTTACAACTCGTGCTTCAAATTCTATAGCAAAACACTACAACCACCCAGTCCCCTCTATCACCTCCCTTTTCAGACCGATGAATCTTAAGTTGAGGCACTTTACTGACCTGGAGGGATCCATACCAAGCACTTCTGATGATCACAGTTGAGACTGTCACATGAAGACCAAGCCAGGGATAAAATCCCAAGTGTTAAAAATAATCTTAACTAACAAAAGTCACGAGTCAGCTTCAAATTCATAAAGTTGTTTAATTAATAAATACTGAGCTCCTCTTCTAGTTTAAAAGCCTCTTGGAAAGTCCTTGAATTAAGCTGTCAAGCTTTTGTTTGCAAACTTACTGCATTTTCCTTTTCTTCTACTTTTTTAAATGAAAAGGAACACGTGTCTCAAAAATGTGACTTCATGAAAAACAGCAAGAATCATTACATTTAAGATAAAATTACAAGAATTGGCAATGCTACAATCCATCAGATTGGCAGGTGTTGGGATGTGTAGGGCTGAATAATTAAGCCTTAGCAGATCAAAATCAAGAGGTTGAATTCCCTAAGGCAGTGGTTCTCAACCTTTTTTTTATTTGTGGACTCCTAAAAAAAAACTTTGAACAGAGATGCAGCCTCCTTTGAATTGTAAGTATGAGCATTCACATACTTTTGATTGATTATAGTCATCTTTTGCAGACCCCTTAGACATAGTCTGCAGAGCCCCAGGAGTCCACAGACCACAGATTGGAAAACATTGCCCTAGGGAAACCCACAGGCAGCCAGTGCAGATCGTGAAGAAACTGTCACATGCTCTCAGTGAAACACTGCACTTACCAGGCATACTGCTGCATTCTGTACTCACTTCCACTTTTAAAAAGTTAGGATGTAACTAGATCTGCTTCTTGAGTATATTCTGCTTTATGGACAAAAATAATTTGTCACTGCTTTTTATTCCTGGTGGCACCATAGATCCAACAGAGATCCAATAGTTGCTATATTGTTAACAGAACTATTAGCTAACTTCCAGGTGTAGACAATGAGTGTCTGGATGAGCTGAACAGAACCTGTTTGTATGTCAGGTCTCAATATGAGGGAATCCTGCTCCAATTTGGAAACAGTGGAATTGTCTGACTTGAGTGGTAGCTAGATCAGACATGGGGCTTGCAGGGTTAAGTGTTAAGAACAACTAATTGTAAAACGAGTAAAATGGATCTGATGTCACATGGGTCCCTTAATGCCATTCTTTGTTTCCTTTTCCAAGTAGAACCGGACCTTAGGTGTTTTTATCTACTTTGTTTCTGAATTTTAATTAATGATCTGCCATGATATGAAACAATATGTTCAAGATTGCTAACATTTTCAGGCATAATGGGACAGCCTGGTGCTGACTGTGATCTATATCCCTATCAGATTATTTGGTTTAATGACATTGTTTGGCAAATCCACCACAGTATTGGTGTTCTTTACTCTTCCTTCCTCTCATAATGCTGTGCTGTGTTCAGTAAGCAATGCTTGGTCCCTTCTTCTCAAATGATCAATAGCCTGGCTGCTGTCTGTATTTTAAAGGTACCTGTCCTCAGCCTGAAGTGTCTGAACCTGCCTCTTTAGATGATAAAGAGTGTTTTTTTCAAATTTGTGAAGGACTTTGCTAGAACAAAGCTATACATATTTTCCAAATTAATTTTACTTCTCCACTTTTGCTTTCCAGATGTGCCTACTGAACCAACACACAGGACCTTTAGTCAATGGGGTCCTCCACAACTTCCAACATCACAACCACATTCTCAGTCTCCTACAATCTGAGCTAAAGGAGAACTATATAGAAATACTAAGTTTTTGTAATATCTGATATTGGGCACTGGCAGTAGATACATCATGACATGCACTAAGCCAGCAGATGATATTAGCACTCCTCTTTGAAGTCAGGTGCAGAGTAGGTAAGTAGGAAGTTACTATTTGAGAAGCAGTCACAGGAGCATTCCTATAACTAGGAGACCTTTACTTCTTATCATCTGTCCTGTAAGTGCCCAGCATAAGGAAGAAAAAGATGGGGTTTCAGTGACAGATTTATAAGGATGGCAGAGTGGGTCTGAACTAAACAGAAGAGCAGGACACACTTATTATTATTGTGATTGATCAAATAAAAAAAAGGATGGAAATATGTTTATGGACCCAATTGCTCCTGTTTCTCCTCCTCCTCCGTTATTGTTTAAAAATATAAGGAATCAGGTTTGCAACTGGATGCATTTTGATTTCAGCAAAGTTATGTGGCTGATGTTATTGGTGAAGTAGATTATTTAATCAAGTCAGCTAGGAAACATATCATGAGCCTTCTTCACAACTTCAAATAACCATTAATAGTTGTAGCCGTTTTGCCCTTCACCATTACAATTTTCAGGCAGGGTGAAATATTTAACAAACGACTTGGTTCCAAGTGACTGAAAGCACAAGCAAACTGAAGATGAGCTTAGCTATAGCAAGGAATTGTTCACAACGGATGGTAGAGATTTCCAGTGGGGCCAAAGTCTGGTGTCAGTTACCTTGGAGAGTCTGCACTGGAGTCTTTCCAGTCTGCATGGGTGTGGGAGAGCACAGGCTGACTCAGAACAACCGACTTACCTCCAAAGGCTGGCCTCATGGTGAAGTCATGATCATCTACTCTGAGAAGCTGCTCAGGCTTTCCTTTCCATGTTTTGGTTACATCATGGTTCTTCTTGTAGATGTGACTGCAAAAGATGAACCACATGGCTGATCTGTAATCACCATTCCCAAAATGAGATTCAAAAAGTGGCATCTTGGTGGGAAAGAGCTAGGTTGTCAGCGACTCCAATACTGCTTTAAGGATTGCCAATACAATGGTAGTTTCCTGTAGCAGTATGAATTATCATGAAAACAGCTGGGGTCCTGTCCTGGCAGAGAGAAGTATCATGGGGAGTTCAAGGCACCTCAGGTATTCTCATGATCAGAGCTATTAGCGCATCATTCTCTACATCTGACAAGGTCTTTCCCACTGCCAGCCCTGCTAGCTCAGCATGGTCTCCAAAGATCAGATTATGCTTTTTCTGGTTCAGACATCAGTGGCATTCTAGGAGTGTAGCAGTAGTAAGTGTACTGAGGACACTCAAAAGTAAAACAATGCACACCTCTTTTCTGTCTCTTCTAGGCGAGCAGGTTTTTGTATGTAAACTAAACAAGTGCAATTTGAATCTAAATAGAGATGCCTAATACCAAGGTGATATTACTATAGATATGCACTTTACGCACCTTTCTGACCATAATCATTCAATGTCATATGCTGCTTTAAGTGCACATATGTCATTCCCATTGATACTAAGAGAACTGTTTATTGACTGACAGCAGCATGTTGCTTTTTAATTTAAGACTCTAAGTAGCAATAAATTCACCCCATTCCCTTCATGCTATTAGTATACCATAGTTCTCTCTACCTAAAGTCTACATTTATCCTTAATCCTCCAATGACCTGAATAGCAAGCGATACAATAAATTAACTTTTTATTCAGATATAATGGAAGATATCATAAACTACAACTGCAGTCAAGGGATGGATGCAATGTCCTGAATAAAGTGCTATGACTAGCATAAATAGGGAATTAAATTACAACCCCAATAGCTAACTTGCCCTGGGCACCTATTTAACAAAATCTAGTTTTGCAATCAGATCCATTTAGGAGGGGGATTACAATCAGTAAGATTACTGAACTTTTGTCCTGAAAGTGACATTTGTTGAGTCTTAAATACTGATGCAACAAATGATCTGACAGACAGAGAGTTACTGACAGCCAAGTGACACAGAAAAGGTGATACCCTTCAAGCCATTGTTTGGGGAGGGGTTGCTGGCTGGTAGAGGCAGAACTTTAGTAGATGAATTGGACTTGGCAATAAATGTTGCTGAAATATCTCTGTCAAAAACTGAGTGCTAGCATAACCACCAAGCTATTAAATTGTTTTTCTGGGCTGAATCAAATGCACCCATGCTCTTGAATGGTGATAACTGAAAATTTATTTACAGTCTGACCCTGTAGCTCTTACATGAGTAGTCTCATTGAAATCAATAAATCAGGCCTGTGGGCACAAGTGTTTCTCAGCATAGCATCAACAGCATTAAATATTGGTGTTGTCTATTTGCATGTACAGTTAATTAGGGCATGCCACTGGGCAGCTGGAAAACACTGAGCAACTTTCTCGACTCTTTTACACAGCTCCATGGAGGCTGGCTGAAGTTGTGCGTTTCACTGAGGGAAGACATTTCCTGAGAAAAGAATATTTCCAGCTGGCCAGCCTTGTGTCCTTGTTAACTTTATGCATAAGCATGAAGCACAGTGCAACAGTATGTCAACGTGGGTAAGAGAACCTATACTACAGGGAGCAAATCCAGAAATAGTATGATTGATTCAGTTGGAATGGATATTGGGCCCCCAGTTACATAACCAAACTGACTGCATGAAAACTTGGCTGGAATTCAGCTACCAGTGCTAGAGGCCTCCTCTTTAGATCAAATCGCTCAATCACTTTTGTCATTATGAGGGCCACTAAAGCTCCTTCTTGGCCCGTAGGGGCCCCTCTCAAGTGGGACCTAGCATAACTCTTTCACTATCCAAAAGTCCTCCAGGAACACAGCAGGATAATGCACTTGGGTTTTGCTAGCTCCCCCACTATTATAAAGAAACTCAATCCCAAAACTACAGCGGATATAAATCTAATAAGGAAATAAATAATAATAAGTTGCAAAAAATAGGAAATGCAGAGTATTTAGGGTAGTCAGTAGTATACAAAAGGAGGGACAGATCCAGGTAGGGTTTTTGGAGGTACAGTCGCACCACCCCTTTTGTCCCTGCTTCATTCAAAGTTTAAAACAAACTGCTGGACAAGGACAGCTGCATTTCTATTTAGGTGGAGCTGAGGGTGTCAATAATGCCAGGGCTTATTATTATCTACTTGATTTCTTCTAATCTGTTCACTCCATAAGTGCTAACAAACCTTGATCTTCCTGTAATCAAACTAGCCTTTCCTCTACAATTATCCTGTTTTATCTACCCCTAGTAATGTTTCTCTGTACACCTCCCTGCACATCCAATACAGATATGCTGTTACCTAGGAACCTGTACTGGATACGTTTATTCCGAGGGGATTCTGACCCGCAACAAATCAGAGGTAGGGAGGGGAAGGGGAGGGCTAAAAGTAGGCTGAGTCACGCAATTGTCAGAGGCAGGAGGGAGTTGCAAAAACAAGGCAAAGAGGTAAGGTACTGCAGTGACCTCTTCCTGGGTTATTCATTGCAACAAATAATGGAGATAAACCAGCTATGCAAACCAGGGTAGCATAAAGCTGAGCACGGGCAGGTCCAGAAGGGTTGGTCTCCATGGGTAGGGGCACATCCAGCTGCTGAAACAAGTCCTTCCCTCAGCATAACTGCTTGTTTCTTTATGTGGAGGGCAGCAGAGGCCAGCTATGGGTATGCTGTGAGAAGGCAGGGAAGTTACAGCTATACCTCAACCCACTCCATGGTCGGGGGGCTGGGAGGGGCAGAGGGAACTGTCTTGGAGGATTTCTCAGTCAAAGTGGCTCCCGGGGACCATGAAGAGTT